TTACAATTTTTACACTCTCTTTTGTCCCCTTTACCTTTATACAAAAGAACTATGCATGCTTTCTGCCAATCCCAAGGTACCTTACCCTCTTCCATACATTTATTAAATAAAAACACTAACCACTCCAAAACTATATCCCCACCTGCTTTTAACATTTCTGTCTTTATCCCATCAATCCCATCTGCTTTACCTCCTTTCATTCTACCCACTGCCCCACGCACTTCCCCCACACTCGCAACTGGTTCTTCCTCACTCCTATAAGATGTTATTCCTCCTTGCCCTATACTAGGGAGGCCAAGCCCATGATGACACTCTTCAGGTCACTTGTTCTATCTAGGCTGGAATATTGCTGCACTCTAACAGCACCTTTCAAGGCAGGTGAAATTGCCGACCTAGAAAATGTACAGAGAACTTTCACGGCGCGCATAACGGAGATAAAACACCTCAATTACTGGGAGCGCTTGAGGTTTCTAAACCTGTATTCCCTGGAACGCAGGAGGGAGAGATACATGATTATATACACCTGGAAAATCCTAGAGGGACTAGTACTGAACTTGCACACGAAAATCACTCACTACGAAAGCAAAAGACTTGGCAGACGATGCACCATCCCCCCAATGAAAAGCAGGGGTGTCACTAGCACGTTGAGAGACCATACAATAAGTGTCAGGGGCCCGAGACTGTTCAACTGCCTCCCAGCACACATAAGGGGGATTACCAATAGACCCCTGGCAGTCTTCAAGCTGGCACTGGACAAGCACCTAAAGTCAGTTCCTGATCAGCCGGGCTGTGGCTCGTACGTTGGTTTGCATGCAGCCAGCAGCAACAGCCTGGTTGATCAAGAGCTGATCCACCAGGAGGCCTGGTCACAGACCGGGCTGCGGGGGCGTTGACCCCCGAAACTCTCTCCAGGTAAACTCCAGGTAAACACGAAATCACAGCTTCCCTATCTTCATCAACATTTAACAATTCCTTAAAATATTCCCTCCTTCTCAATACCTCTAACTCTCTGTTTAATAACTCTCCTCTCCTATTTTTAACTAACGAATCCATTCTATGGGCTAGTAACCCCTTTTCCTGTAAAGATTACTAAAAAGAATAAGAAGAAAATTGTCAAAGTGGGAAGTCTGAATGTGCGTGGATGTTGTGCAAATGATAAGAAAGATGATTGTGGATGTTATGAATGAGAAGAAGCTGGATGTCCTGGCTTTAAGTGAAACAAAGCTGAAGGGGGTGGGAGAGTTTCAGTGGAGAGGAATAAATGGGATTAGGTCAGGGGTTTCAAATAGAGTTAGAGCTAAAGAAGGAGTAACAATAATGTTGAAGGATAAGATATGGCAGGAAAAGAGGGACTATAAATGTATTAATTCAAGGATTATGTGGAGCAAAATAAAGGTTGGATGTGAAAAGTGGGTTATAGTAAGTGTATATGCACCTGGAGAAGACAGAAGTGTAGAGGAGAGAGAGAGATTTTGGGAAATGTTGTGTGAATGCGTGGGGAGTTTTGAATCAAGTGTGAGAGTAATGGTGGTTGGGGATTTCAATGCTAAAGTGGGTAAAAATGATGTGGAGGGAGTAGTAGGTAAATTTGGGGTGCCAGGGGTAAATGTAAATGGGGAGCCTTTAATTGAGCTATGTGTAGAAAGAGATTTGGTAATAAGTAATACATATTTTATGAAAAAGAGGATAAATAAATATTCAAGGTATGATCACATTTTCATTTAAGAACATAAGAAAGAAGGAACACTACAATAGGCCTACTGACCCATGCAGAGCAGGTCCATGTCCCCCCCCTGGATTAGACCAGTAGCACGTAATGAAAGTAGTTTGTTAGATTATGTACTGGTGGATAAAAGGTTAATGGGTAGGCTCCAGGATGTACATGTTTATAGAGGGGCAACTGATATATCGGATCATTATTTAGTTGTAGCTACAGTTAGAGTAAGAGGTAGATGGGACAAGAGGAAGGTGGCAACAAGTAGGAGGGAAGTGAAAGTGTATAAACTAAGGGAGGAGGGAGTTCGGGTGAGATGTAAGCGACCATTGGCAGAAAGGTGGGCTAGTGCAAAGATGAGTAGTGGGGGGGTTGAAGAGGGTTGGATGAGTTTTAAAAATGCAGTATTAGAATGTGGTTATAGGAGGGTGGGGGCAGGAGGAAAGAGGAGTGATTGGTGGAATGATGAAGTAAAGGGTGTGATAAAAGAGAAAAAGTTAGCTTATGAGAGGTTTTTACAAAGCAGAAGTGTTATAAGAAGAGCAGAGTATATGGAGAGTAAAAGAAAGGTGAAGAGAGTGGTGAGAGAGTGCAAAAGGAGAGCAGATGATAGAGTGGGAGAGGCACTGTCAAGAAATTTTAATGAAAATAAGAAAAAATTTTGGAGTGAGTTAAACAAGTTAAGAAAGCCTTGGGAACGTTTGGATTTGTCAGTTAAAAACAGAGTAGGGGAGTTAGTAGATGGGGAGAGGGAGGTATTAGGTAGATGGCGAGAATATTTTGAGGAACTTTTAAATGTTGAGGAAGAAAGGGAGGCGGTAATTTCATGCACTGGCCAGGGAGGTATACCATCTTCTAGGAGTGAAGAAGAGCAGAATGTAAGTGTGGGGGAAGTACGTGAGGCATTACGTAGAATGAAAGGGGTAAAGCAGCTGGAACTGATGGGATCATGACAGAAATGTTAAAAGTAGGGGGGAATATAGTGTTGGAGTGGTTGGTACTTTTGTTTAATAAATGTATGAAAGAGGGGAAGGTACCTAGGGATTGGCAGAGAGCATGTATAGTCCCTTTACATAAAGGGTAAGGGGACAAAAGAGATTGTAAAACTTATAGAGGAGTAAGTTTATTGAGTATACCAGGAAAAGTGTACAGTAGGGTTATTATTGAAAGAATTAGAGGTAAGACAGAATGTAGGATTGCGGATGAGCAAGGAGGTTTCAGAGTGGGTAGGGGATGTGTAGATCAAGTGTTTACATTGAAGCATATATGTGAACAGTATTTAGATAAAGGTAGGGAAGTTTTTATTGCATTTATGGATTTAGAAAAGGCATATGATAGAGTGGATAGAGGAGCAATGTGGCAGATGTTGCAAGTATATGGAATAGGTGGTAAGTTACTAAATGCTGTAAAGAGTTTTTATGAGGATAGTGATGCTCAGGTTAGGGTGTGTAGAAGAGAGGGAGACTACTTCCTGGTAAAAGTAGGTCTTAGAAAGTTGAAAGTGAACATAGAAAAGAGTAAGGTGATGAGGGTATCAAATGATTTAGATAAAGAAAAATTGGATATCAAATTGGGGAGGAGGAGTATGGAAGAAGTGAAGGTTTTCAGATACTTGGGAGTTGACGTGTCGGCAGATGGATTTATGAAGGATGAGGTTAATCATAGAATTGATGAAGGAAAAAAGGTGAGTGGTGCGTTGAGGTATATGTGGAGTCAAAAAACGTTATCTATGGAGGCAAAGAAGGGAATGTATGAAAGTACCAACACTCTTATATGGGTGTGAAGCTTGAGTTGTGAATGCAGCAGTGAGGAGGCGGTTGGAGGCAGTGGAGATGTCCTGTCTAAGGGCAATGTGTGGTGTAAATATTATGCAGAAAATTCTGATTGTGGAAATTAGGAGAAGGTGTGGAGTTAATAAAAGTATTAGTCAGAGGGCTGAAGAGGGGTTGTTGAGGTGGTTTGGTCATTTAGAGAGAATGGATCAAAGTAGAATGACATGGAGAGCATTTAATCTGTAGGAGAAGGAAGGTGGGGTAGGGGTCATCCTCGAAAAGGTTGGAAGGAAGGGGTAAGAGAGGTTTTGTGGGCGAGGGGCTTGGACTTCCAGCAGGCGTGCATGAGAATGTTCGATAGGAGTGAATGGAGACGAATGGTATTTGGGACTTGACGATCTATTGGAGTGTGAGAAGGGTAATATTTAGTGAAGGGATTCAGGGAAACCGGTTATTTTTATATATCCAGACTTGAGTCCTGGAAATGGGAAGTACAATGCCTGCACTCTAAAGGAGGGGTTTTGGGATATTAGCAGTTTGGAGGGATATGTTGTGTATCTTCATACGTATATGCTTCTAAACTGTTGTGTTCTGAGCACCTCTGCAAAAACAGTGATAATGTGTGAGTGTGGTGAAAGTGTTGAATGATGATGAAAGTATTTTCTTTTTGGGGATTTTCTTTCTTTTTGGGTCACCCTGCCTCGGTGGGAGACGGCCGACTTGTTGAAAAAAAAAAATCCATTCACTCCCTACTCTTTCTGAACTTATTAATCTCACTCCAAATCTTTTTCTTATTTTCAACAAAATTTGTTGATAACATCTCACCCACTCTCCTTTTACAGTGGTTCACCACTCTCTTAATGTTTCTTTTTCTCTTTCTCTTTTTGCAGTCTGTATGAGTTATGTATTTATTCTAAGGTTGGTTAGTTGATTCACTTCCAAATACTATATTGTAATAGTCAGCAGGTTTTTTTCTCCATTGTGAGTTTGATGTTAAAAAGAAATGTTTACCAATATCTTTTTAAAATGCTAGGTCATTGTTTTAGAATCTATAATATCATCATCAAACTGCATTAAATTGAGGTGTTGAAGTATTTGGACTCTTAGAGGCCTAAAAGACTGCCATAAGTTGTATAAAAAAAACATAATGAAATACAAACTTGGAGAAGGAGAACCAGTGGAACGGCTGTTTGAAGGATAAGAACATTTTATTTAGAACCATGTAGAAAAATCATAAATAGTAGAAAGGAAACTCCCTATACTGTGCTTTCTTCACAGAAATGCTTCCAGGAATGCTGAACTATGCTTATTTGCTATAGGCTTGAGTCATGCTTACTTTCATCTTGATTACATATTATTATTATTATTAGTTATGTACTCTTGCACTTTTCCATGGTAACATGCATGTGTACTCCATATTATCTCTTTTTCACCTCTTACCATTTCACTTTTATACTGAATAGAAATGAGAACTCATTGTTATCAGGTTTCAAATCTCCTTTTTCTCCATTTAGTTTTGATGTGGTTCCAATTATAAACAAGGTGCCTGAGTTTGCCCACCGTGGGGATGTGGTACGGAAGAAGGCTGACCGTAAGCAGTTAGCAGGTTGGCAGTGCCATGAATGTGAAAAATGGTATGAAGCACATCCAGACCCAGAAGAAAAAAAGGTAAGTTATCCTTTGGTCAAATTACTTACAAGGGGGAAAGAAATTTGCCCCTTTAACCCCTTTGACTGTTTTTGTCATATATATAACGTTTTATGACCAGTGTTTTTGATGTACTATTAATTTTGCCAAAATTCTAGCGGCTTCAATCAAACGGGAGAAAGCGGGTGGGCCTACATGTGAGAGAATGGGTCTGTGTAGTCATGTGCTCCATATAAAAAAAATCCTGCAGCACGCAGTGCATAAGAAAAAAAATTCCGACCGTTTTTTGGATTAAAACGCCGACTTTGAGGTGTATTTTTGTTTAGTTTTTTAAGGGTTTTGTTTTCTTGTTTTCATGATTCATTTGATAGATTTGGAAGACATACAGTGGACCCCCGCATAACGATATTAAATTTCCCTTCCTGAGAGCCAATTGTTATGCAAAATTATCGTTATGCGAATGAATTTTCCCCATAAGAAATAATGGAAATCAAAATTTAAACCATGCAAGACACCCCAAAGTAAAAAAAAAAAAATTTACCACATGAAATATTTAATTTTAATACTCACAAACTGAAAAGACATGCACAGTTTTCACACACTTACCTTTTTTGAAGATCTGGTGATGATTGATGGGATGGGAGGAGGAGAGATCTTAGTGTTTAGAAGAGGAATCCCCTTCCATTAAGACTTGAGGTGTCAAGTCCTTTTTTCCGGGGTTACTTCCCTTCTTCTTTTTAAAGCCACAAAAGGGCCAGCTTCAATCACTGGACTTCTGTCGCACAACATATCTGTCCATAGAGGCCTGTACCTCCCATTCCTTTTTGACTTTCCTAAAGTGGTTCACAACAATTGTCAGTGTAATAGTCACCAGCACGGCTTGCAATAGCTGTGTTAGGGTGAAATTTTCATCAAAAAAGGTTTGCACTTTAAGCCACATTCCCCACATTTCCTTAATCTTTGAAGTAGCCCAAATTCTTCAAATTTTCTCTCTCCCCTCCTCCGAAGCAGTTTCCTCAGGTCTGGCCTCATGAAGATGATCTAGCTGCTCATCAGTGGTTAGTTCTTCATTGTCCTCTTCCACCAACTCTTCCACATCATCCCCACTAACCTCCAACCCCAAGGACTTTCCCAAAGCCACAATGGATTCCTCAACTGGCATAGGATTCCCATGGTTAGCCTCAAATCCTTCAAAATCCCTTTGTCTAAAACATTCTGGCCACAGTTTTCCAGCAGAGTTCAAGGTCCTCTTTGTCCCCTCCCTCCCAAGCCTTACCTATAAGGTTTACACAATTTAGGATATTAAAGTGCTCTCTCCAAACTCTCTTAGAGTCAATTTAAATTTCTGAGGTCACTACAAAGCACCTTTCAAACAAGCTTTTGTGTACAGTTTTTGAAGTTTGCAATGACCTGCTGGTCCATGGGCTGCAGGAGAGGAGTGGTATTAGGAGGCAAAAACTTCACCTTTAAAGAAGCTCATGTCCCCATAAAGTCGCTCTGCCACATCTGTAGGATGACCAGGGCATTGTCTAACACCAGGAGGCACTTAAGGTCTAATTTCTTTTCAGTTAGGTAATTTTTCACATTGGGGGCAAATGCTTGGTGTAACCAGTCATGGAAAAAAACCCTAGTGACCCATGCCTTACTGTTTGCCATCCACAGCACACACAAATTAGCCTTGAGGATATTCTTTGCCTGAATGCTCGGGGAGTTTCTGAGTGAACCACTAATAAAGGCTTCACTTTGCAATCACCACTAGCATTGGAACACATCAACAGAGTAAGCCTGTTTTTCATGGGCTTATGTCCTGGGAGTGCCTTTTCCTCCTGAGTAATGTAGGTCCTGCTTGGCATTTTCTTCCAAAACAGGCCTTTTTCCCATCACAATTAAACACTTGTTCAGGTTTTCAGTCCTTCACTGTCTATGTACTCCATGAATTCCTGCACATATTTTTTCAGCTGCTTTGTGGTCCGAACTGGCACCTCACCATGCCTTATCACACTATGGATGCCACTACGCTTCTTAAATCTCTCAAACCAACCTTTTCTGGGCCCTTAATTCACTCACATCATCACTATTGCAGGCATTTTTTTAATTAAATCCTCATGCAACTTCCCCAGCCTTTTTACTTATGATCACTTGAGAGATGCTATCTCCTGCTATCTGTTTTTCATTTATCCACACCAATAAGAGTCTCTCAACATCTTCCATCACTTGCGATCTCTGTTTCGAAAACACAGTTGAACCCTTTGGCAAGAACAGCTTCCTTGATTGCCGTTTTCCTTTGGGCACAATAGTAGCAATGTTTATTGGGTTTACTAACAACCTGGCCAGCTCGGAGACACGCACTCCACTTTCATACTTAGCAATGATCTCTTTCTTCTCTCTATAGTAATTCTCACCCTTATTCCTGTAGGGTTGGGACTAGAAGCTTTCTTGGGGCCCAAGGTCACTTAATTTTGCAGATAAAATCACCAAAAACACTGTAATAATACGAAATGTTTCGATTGTATGCTTGGATGTTACCGCGGAGGCTGGCTGGTAAACAATGCCACCGGTGGAACATGTGAGGCTGGCTCAGGCCGCACATTAGACGCGTCTTGGACGAATAGCGTTGAGCGGGTTTTTTAGTGGTATGCAAGGCAAAATCTTAGCGATAAAATGTATCGGTATGCGGATTTAACATTATGTGATGCCAACGGTATGCGGGGGTCCACTGTATTACAGAAATAGAGATGATTTTGATTTGTTTCACGATGAAAAGGACCTCGAAATTGAGCTCAAAGCAACAGAAATGTTCGATTTTTGCCGAGGTTCAAGAGTAAACAAATGAAGTCACCGTCCAATACGTGTCCAACTGGCCAGTCTAATATGCAGTCACAAATGGGCTGACATTATTTATACAATTATTATAATAATGAAGTAGTCTGCATAACAGTAAATCTATTTTTTGTGAAAAGAAAAATTCAAAATAGAGAGTAAGAGTAATATAAGAGGTGCCTGGAGACATGACTAATGAACAAAGAAAATGTTATTTTAGTGCCAGGAATGTCTGCATTGTTTATTCTGGATCCTATTTTGAAATTGGCATCTTTTTTAATTTGCATGAAATTGGCCAAATTGCCAATATCTGACCACTTTATTGGGTAGTTGAGATCGGTAAATGGGCAGTTTCTTGTACTCAATCGATAGAACTAATGGAGTTCTAAAGAAATAGCTACGAATTTGGTCGACTGGAACAATGGAATTGGCCGAAAATAGGGCTCAAAGTGGGCAAAATCGCCGATGCGTATGTATCGCTGAGATCACTGACTTTACGAGAGCGTAATTCCTTAAGTTTTCCATCAAATTTTGTACTTTTGGTGTCATTACCACAGTGAAAAGATTCCCTATCATTTCATAAGAAAAATATTTTTTTTTTTTTTAAATATTTTGCGACACAGAGACACTTCAGGATTTGGGGGTCTGCCAAAGGGTTAATGTTATCATGGAGCCTGGATAACTTAGAAGTTATGAGATGTACATTAAAGTACAATGAGTGTGATAAAGAGAGCCCATTCAACATTGTGAATCTGATCCAGAAAAAAAGTCCTTTCAGTGGGGTACTTCTGAGACCCATTGTTTTCACTGTTGAACGCAGCCAAAAAATGTACATTAGATTCTACTTTACAAAAGAGGTAACACTACATGAGATAGGTCAGAATAATGCAAATCAAGGATTCAGAGGAAAATGTGAAGTTTTTATGCTTGGCACACAGTAAGTGGTGTTGGGTATGCTAAATCAGTTTTTTTAACACTGGCAGTTTCCTACGAAGGCAGGGTGACCCAAAAAAAGAAACACTTTCACCATCATTCGTATTATCACTGTCTTTGCAGGGGCGCACAGATACGACAGTACATGGAACACACACAGTTTGTAGACATTAGTCCAGAGATTTAGAGCAAAATATACTTGTGGGATGTCCTAAATTGACTGATATATATCATGTACTAAGACAGACTGAGTGAAACAATGTAAATTTAATCCAAGGGTTCCTCAGATTTGCAAATCCATACAAAATTAAGATAAGATAAGATAAGATTTCGTTCGGATTTTTAACCCGGAGGGTTAGCCACCCAGGATAACCCAAGAAAGTCAGTGCGTCATCGAGGACTGTAACTTATTTCCATTGTGGTCCTTAATCTTGTCCCCCAGGATGCGACCCACACCAGTCGACTAACACCCAGGTACCTATTTGCTGCTAGGTGAACAGGACAACAGGTGTAAGGAAACGTGTCGAAATGTTTCCACCCGCCGGGAATCGAACCCGGGCCCTCCGTGTGTGAAGCGGGAGCTTTAGCCACCAGGCCACCGGGCCCCACCCAGGCCACCGGGCCCCAGTGATTTTAAAATTACCTGTTATAGAGGTAAGGTTACCCAAAAAAAAAATACTGTCACCATCATTCACTGTCTTACCAGAGGCGTGCCAGTAATACAGTTCAGATGACTCTCCAAATTGCAGATATCCACACCCCTCCTTAAGAGTGCAAACACAATACTTCCCACCTCCAGGACTCGAGTCTGGTTAACCGGTTTCCCTGAATCCCTTCACAGATTGCTACCTTGCTGATACACCAACAACTCATCAAGTCTCAAAAACCATTTCAGTCTACTTGTATCTAGCACGCTCACACATGCCTGTTGACTGTCCAAGCCCCTCATACACAAAACCTCCTTTACCCCCTCCCTCCAACCTTTCCTAGGGCAGCCCCCACCCTGTCTTCCCTCCACTACAGATTTATACATCCTTCAATCCTCTCTAAATGTCCAAACCACCTCAACAGTCCCTCCTTAGCCCTCTGGATAAAGCTTTCAGTTACTCTGCACTTCCTAATCATGCTACGAATTCTTTGCATAATAATTACATCACACATTGCCCTCAGACACAACATCTCCACTGCCTCCAACCTCCTCCTCACTGCAACATTCTATAACCCATGCTTCACACTCATATAAGAGTGTTGGTACCACTGTACTCTCA